AAAATTTTTATCGAACGAAATTGGAATAGAAAATGCTTAGACGACAGTTATTACCTATATGATACACAGCGAACTCAGTGTCACCAATGCTTACTGGTCGAATATTCAACCGCTTACGTTAAAATTTCGTGCCAATTCAGCCAACGTATAGATATGGTTGATTAAATGGCCAAGGCGCGCATAGAAATAAGCATAGCAAACAAACTGGGCGATAATACACTTCCACGTGACTGATTAGTTGGTTAAATTAAAGTGGTCGATTATCAATCCTATATAGTTATTACTATACTAGAAAGTAGCGACCATCAATCCTATAAAGTTATTAAGGTCAAATATTGCACGCTAATGTCATTTATGTAATTCGTGAAACAAGAAGAAAAAGATGTCAATTGCGAGCTGCAAGTGCACAGATTATAGGTGCACATGAGCCAGCTTAATATATTGTACAAATTTTCAATATCAAAACTAACAAATTGGTCTGATGAACCCCATTCAATGTTCTTAAGTATTTCTACAAAATGTTTGGAATTCTTAACAAATGAAATTATTTTTCCTACTAATGGTTGGACAATTTGGAGGACACATCTACTTTAATTGCTAGTTGCTGAATCTCTTGAACTAGTGATAGGTCTCAGTGGCACAGAATCTTTTTGATAAATCAAACTAAGGCTGGATGCACAAAAAGCAAATCTATTTTAGCCAAAAACGTTTTTGTCTTTTATAAAAATATGATGATTTATAGAGAAGCAAAATGTTTTATTTGCAATCAAATATTGACGGCAGCTGATGCAGAACGCGTCGTGACTAAGAATGATTAAATCCAGCAGTCGATATCGATCAGACTGACTGTGACTAAACGAGCGTATACCCGTCTTAAACCTCGCGACTGATCAGTGTACGTTAGGCCTTTTTAATTCGCATTGAGACATCACGTGAAAAAAGTCTTAATAAAAAACGTTTTTGATCAAAACTGATTTGCTCTTTCTTTGTGCTATAACTTTTGAAAACATTTTTGAAAATAAGTTTAAAAAAAAATTATAGTTAAAATTAGTTTACTTTAAAGCACTCTATTTTTACTTAATTAGAGTGACGGAAAATTGCTTTAAAATTTTGCTACGTAAGCACCAGTTGTTGAACTGGATAAAATAACTTTGAATTTAACTCTGAATAAACTGGAATATAGAATTTCGTTCATTTATAACTTTCTAGTACTTTTAAAAGTCGCCTAAAATCAAATTAATACTTTAGGAAGTCAAATCTCGACTTAAATTCGAGATTTATTCACACTAGAGTTTTCGGCAGATCGAAAATAGTAGTTATATTTCATTTGGGATCATATATATGTAAGGGTTTTCTGCATAATCCTTTTGATCTGAAATTTATCAAAGAAAATTTGGCAAGAATCCATATTTATTTGATTCTTTGTAAGGAGCGATTAACAATGATTGAAATAGTTGACTATTCTGATTTAGCTCGTTTGGTTGGCAATATATTTAAGAAATTCAGTTATTTATCGGAAACAGCATCTTTTTTAGCATCTAAACAAACCAAAAACTAAATAATATGCTTAATTCTTTGGCGATATTTAAATTTTTTTTCCATAATAATGTGAGAGTAATCAAAACGAGATGATATATAAATGTATTTTAATCTGAAGGTTCTCTAATTTAATTACTGAATAAGTGTATTAAAAGATAAATAGCATGAGTTTTCTACGATGTTCTCTACGGGTGTCTTGGAAATTATTGGAGCTAGAGAGTCGGTCATATGAGGAAAAAATACAGTATTGTGAGAATACATTATACACACAATCCACTTTTCGGATTTTTGAAAAAAAAATCATGACTTGCTAAATATTTTGAAAAAAATAAATTTCGACTGTTTTAAAAATACTCTTTACTACATATAGGATACTACACAGGGAGAGTCAAACAACCGAGTTATTTGAGCAAGGAAATTTAGCAAAAAAAAAAGATTTTTTGCTAAAATTTTGAGAAACACTGGATCTTTTCTGGACTTAGAACTATGTTTTTTAACTAAAAAATGAACAAATTTTCATTTTTTTTTAAATTTTCCAAAAAATATTACGCAAAGAAAACTCTTAATTGTGTTCCTGGGGTCAAAATGTACTACCCCTAAAATATTTGCACTTATTATATATTTATATTATATAGGATACTATACAGAGATCTACCTATACTTCTCTGATGTTTAGGATACTATAAAAATAAAATCTAGGAACTAGTGGAGTTGCAGTCGGAAGGGTTTGACAAAGAATTAATACACTTTGTTAATTGTCAAGCTTTGGGAATTTATTCGTTCCTTCCTCAGGACATTAACGTGGTACAAAAGAGACCTTCATAAAAAACTACATTAAAAAATTTGGCCTGTGTTGAAAAGTGAAGCCAAATTTTTTTGACAACACTTTGAAGCATCGCTGACCAGTCAACCACAAATAAAGAGAGAGCTCTTATGGGGCGGTTAAGCCGCCTGATATTTATTTAAAACATTGGAATAATTAGGAGATGTTCGATTGAAAATTCAATTGCGTCTCCAATGCTTGACAATTAACAAAGTGTATTAATTCTTTGTCAAACCCTTCCGACTGCAACCCCACTAGTTCCTAGATTTTCTTTCTCACTAGTCAGTCGAGACTACTTTATGCTGGATACTATAAATATAGGATACTATATATTTTCTTATAGATAGGAAAATACATTTGCCTGTTTCAGGACCAGATGTTTGGCCTGGTATGTCGGATTTAGGTTTTCAGTACCGACTAAAAAACTTCTCTTTCTCTAACTGATATTTTTAATAAATAATTAAAATGTACTCAAAATTGCGACTGTGTATTGAGTAACAGTTACTTGCGTTCAATTTCTAACCTTGTTTTAAATGCCTGGAAAAAAATAAGTCATGATTATGTAAGTATCTCTTCTCCGTGTTGAATGCAATGGTGTATTGGAAAAAGTATTTTTTTACATTTTTTACATTTACAAATAACAAAATCAAAACTTGAATATTTTCAAGGGGATGAAGAAAAACCCCATAAATTGATGAATATGTACTAGGTATAGATATTTTGCATGTAACATTAACATTAATTTAGTGGACATTTTGTGTAAATACAATGTATAGAATGTAATAATTGACTGAACTGTAAATAACTGGCCAAAGGTGTACCGTTTGTATCAATCATTCTAATGAAAAGTGATTGGTTATTAGCAATTTCGACATTTTATCATTAGATGAATGTGACCTCAATCGGTATAGTATTCCATTACAGCCTGTTAGATATATCTATAAATTAATTATATTAGTTCTTGATAAATCGATAATAGAGTAATACCGTATGTTCGAAAAAAAAAGAGTTAAAGTCCGCTGGGGAATAACAATCGATTTTAAGGCGGTCAATCTCTAGATGCCATTTACTAAAAATTGTCATATAAGTTGTCAAAAACTAACACTAATAAGGAATAAACGTTTTCAGACGCATAATTCTACTTTTGACACTCACCCGGTATAAAAATAAATTACAAGTATCTTAAGGCAACTGGCCGTAAGCGCCATTAAAAAATAAAGAAGAGCACGAGCCAAGTAATATCTAGGGTTTGTCTTCGCCCAAATTATCATCCATTTTCATTCCCCAGCCGTCTTTGACGCTGTTTTTTTGTACTGTAGTTAAGTTGGATATATTTTATGTTCAGTTATGATGTTGCAATATTTTAATAAAATAAGGTAAAATAAAACAATATTGTACGGCCTATTGCGGGCTCACTGCATAGGCTTTTATTTTCTCAAATTTTACGTAAAGTTAATTTATGAACAATACCCTGTCATATATTTTACAATAAGAAATATACAGCGTGTTTTTAAAATGTGTTTACAAGATACTATAGTATTTTTAACGTTTAAATAAGAACATTGAAAAGCGATTTAATTTCACAAATGAAAAAATATATTTGAAAATGTTGTAGGCTTAAGTTAACACACACATTTTATAGTTTCACATTTAAAAGACACCCATGTATATTTGTACATTTATATGTGTGTAATATTCTCAAATTATTCAGTTGAATAATTTTTTAACATCGTAATAACAATTACTTACAAATATTTATGAAAAGTTTATTTTAAACAATATTTTATTAATAACTATTATTTTGTCAAACTTTCAATTTATTGTTCAAAAAGCTTATTAAAAATAGAAAAAAATGTATCTTACAATTGTTAATCATTATACTACAGGGAATCCATTGGAAATTGTGAAATGAACTAAAAATTGAAAATGCGGAGCTGTTCACAACTTTTCACTGAGCCTTCACTCTGGATGAATCATCAGATTTGGGAACGATCCTTTCATCAAAATTTGGTGGTGAAGTCATATTCTTTCATCCCTCATCTTTAGTATACCGGGTGTCCCATTTCCGTGTGTTTTACAGGATTTCTCGTTTATCACTATGTTGTACTTTTTATGGAACTAAAGAAAATATTGTGAATATTATATTTTGTTTTTCTTATTAAGAACACTTTATCATCATTTTAAAATTTATTTTACATAGGCGTCTGTATATTATTCTGTAATAAATTCGGTAATAAATTTATTGTATTACATCAAAAAGGCCTATCTCTACTAAACAACTAAAAATAAATTATTTATTAGAATTTACGCTCAATTTATCTTTAGTACGTTTCCTCAAGGTCCCCGTTTAAGTGTTAATACAAAAACACTATTAAAAAATTCAAGACTTTACATTTTGAGGCCAAATAAAGTAAGTAATGTTCTTTAAATTGCTCTCCTGAAAAGTAGCGAAAATTGAGACACGCCTTTTGGTTACAAAGTTGACGATATTATATTTTCTTTCTTATTGTATCGTATGATCGAATAAAAACGGCATCAGCGATGGCTATGAAATGAAGATCGCTGTCACTTTACATGTAAAATTTTATTAATTAAATCGATCGTCATTTTCAAGCCAACTGGACGCCGTTTTTTTTTTCGATGATACGATCATTGAATCTTGTACTCGTAAACGAGAAATTCTAACACGCAAAAATAGAACACCCTGTACACTTTGAATCAAACAAAAATTAGAGGTATTCTACACGTATCAGTTTGGATCATTCCTACATATGTCAGTGAGTCTTAAATTTAAAAAAATAAACTGCAGAAAATGCACTAATGCCTTAGACATTAATGTATAAATATGTATAATTATAGTAAATCAAATTGATTTAAATAAACTATATATATGTACATCGAAGATTATAGCCGTTAAAATAACCTAATTAAAGCAAGGAAATATTCGTTTTTAAATAAAATATTCAGTAACATATTAGTTATAACGTAAATAATCACAGTTATTTGATTCATAAAAATGCTACATTTATTATTTACAATAAACTAAGCTATTGAAAACATTGAGCCAATATGACCTAATTAAATTTAATATTAAGAGAAAATTGAACTAGTTGGTAATGTCCAAAAAACTACCATAATTGATGATCTGGCGATATCATTGGAACCCTTATTTCTTCATCCTATTATTCCATAAAATTTACTTAAATTCTAACAAGTATTTTTATACTTAAAGCTATCCCATTTGCACCTAAAAATTATACAAAATTATATTAAGCGGTAAAAAAAATAAATAAATAATTATAAATATTTAGGCTAAACCACAGTATTTACAGTTTGCAGTGATATCCATTGGTTCTTCTTGACCTTTCCGCAGGGCAGATAAGGAAAGAAGACCTCTCTGAAGACCTCTCGGAATTTCTGAGACATGATGCAGTAGAGTACGAAGTTTATTGCTGATATGGTCAGTGTAAAGATGTCCAGAAGGTCACCTGTAACAAAAACACAATCAGTTTTTATGGCTTTGATTTTAATGACATTTGAAAATAAAAAAATATATTGTCATTTTGAGCCACCTTGTATTTATAAAGCTTTTCTCAATGGTATGAGTAAAATTTAAAATACCCCGTATACATATTATTGTCTTATACTGAGTAATATTACCAAATCGTTTTTTTATCCTAATTTCTTGTTTTAGGATACACATATGTTTAAAAACATTTTTAGTATATGAATTTAAAAAATATGTTCATAATAATTTTTAGACGAAAAATTCTTACTAGCTTTATAGAAGTTTAAAACTGAAATACGTGATTCCAGTATTATTTATTATTATTATTACAATCATAAAAAAATACAAGGTATGAAATATGTATTACAAGTTCTAATATTAGATACACCATGTTACATATAGCTAATTTTGGAATAGTAGGTATCCCCGTGAGTGTTAACATATACATAAGGTCGACCCTTAGCAAATTGAGTTTTGATTTAGACATATGCGAGATATATTGCTAGGAATGTAGTTATTAATGTTACCTTAAGCTAGACCACACCGTATGTCGTATGATTTATGCTCTTTGATTTATAATAAATTATTAACTAATAATTAGGTAATAGCATTTTGTTCATTTTTTTGAGATATGTTTTCAAAAAAATCCTACCGTATGATTGGAAAGAAAATGGCGTCAAAGACGGCTGGGGAAAGACAACCGATGATAATTTTAGCGAGGTCAATCTCTACACGATATTTAATAAAAATTAACGCTAGCTATAGAGAGATTAAAAAAGGATAAAACGTTTCCAGACACACAAATCTATTATTCGAATTTTAAACTACGTCATTTAAAAATAATGTTTACTAAATACAAAAATAAATTATAATTTTCTTAAGGCCAACTGACAGTAAGCGACATTATAATATAAGGACGAGTCAGGGCCAAGTAATGACGTATAGGACTTGACCTCGCTAAAATTATAATTGATTTTCTTTTCCCAGCCGTCTTTGGCGCCGTTTTTTTTGATCGTATGGTAGTACACAATATATAGAGAAATCAATAAAAATTGGTATCAGTATCTGGGACGGTTTTACAGAGTTTTTAATTCTCCATCTCCGATCTCAGACGTACCAAAGTTTATGGCACAAATGGTTGTCGTCTCTGCTTACTCAGTGATGAGGTGTTCTGGTGGTTCCTCATCTTCCCCACGTTTGCTGTTGTTTCTTAGCTTTAATCTACTAAGATGTTCATTGAGGAGACAATGTCCTGTTAAATTCCCGTGACAATCCGAACATTGTTCTTATTTGAGTGCTGCTTTAGGTTGCTTTCCACTTGAGAAGCAGAACGATTCTGGTCCAGTTACTGAAATGTTCGCTACTTTTTTATCTAGATCATTTGCTTTTTCATTGCCTTCTAGCCCTTTGTGGGCTGACTTCCAGAGTAAGAGGACTTTATTTTCTTTGCCTAATTTGTTCTCTATTCATTCTTTGATCAACTTCGAATTGATGCTTACTGAGTTGATCGCTCTTAAGGTTGCTTTGGATAACATGGCTATTTATTTTTTCCGATAGTTCCTATCTAAGATAAGTTGTACACATTCGGAGTATTTAGTTTTTGACCCATATACACCTCACCATGTTTCTGCTTTGATTTTGGAAGCATACCAATATGGTGTACCACGTTTAACAACTTCGATGCACGCTAAGTTGTATTGATATAGCCCTATAAAACAATTTTGAAAGGATATGTTACGAGTATATAAAAAAAACTATCACAAAAAAATAAAATGCTAAAATTTTATTACAGATTTATTACAAATTTATGTAAAACAGCGTAGAAAAAGTTTTTATAATTGCTATAAAGCACTTGAGAATTTATAGTCCCAATGAGGTTAAAAAGTATAAAGCTCTTTAAGCCATTAACGTGAAATGCAAAGTAATATTTTCACTGCTATTCTTTCCGGGCAATTTTTACTTTTGTTTTAAGGAAACTTTCAGACTTTTTCTTTTCAAAAACCTCGTTAAAAAAGCTAAATAAAATATTGCTTTGGAGCAAACAATAATTTTATTCAGGCTCAGGTCATGTTTAAACCAAAACTAAAAAAATATTTGGTTAAAAAAGTTCTTTAGGATTTCTATTGTTTCTATTTTTTAACATTTGTATATATTGTTTTCAATTTTGTTTTTAGTTTTTAAAATTAGTTTAAAATTAAATACTCCGAACCAATGGGCACCCTACCCCAGCATCCTTCAGGCGGAAATCTACGCTATCGAAAGATGCGTACAGCTTATCTTAAATAGAAACTATGCGAAACAAGAAATAGCCATCCTGTCCGATAGCTAAGCAGCCCTAAAAGTGATCAACTTGGTAACCATCATTTTGAAGTTGGTTGAAGAAAGAAAAGAAAGATTTGAAGTTAAAGTCTCCTTTTTGCTCTCAGAGCTAATCTGGAGGGTTAGGTTGCCTACAGTGTTTACGCGGAATCCGAACCGCGGTCCTCGGCCATATCATGGTCAATGGCCTACGAACAATATTCTTAATATATATGGCTTAATTATTATTTATATGGCTTAAGAACAATATTCGTAAGTGTTTTATCTGGAACATTTCGTAGACACATCGTACGATAAGTCTTTGCGTCTGGATCCCGCTTTAGACACTAAGAAGTTAGCCAGATTAGCTAAAAAAAATAGATTTAGAGAAAAGAAAAATTTTCTTTTGCTTATAGTTTATCTCTAATTTATTTCTAAGTAAATAATGTTCTAATAATGTCAGAACTGATTTATACGCTATAAAGGGGAATTCGGAATTAACTATTTCTTTAATTTAATTAAATCTCTGTCTGGATTTAGTTCCAAGACAAATTCTCCAGGCCTCTAATATGAAACGTGACAAAGTTGGTAATTGGCGAATTGAAGAATAATATTATTTCTTTCTTTTATTCCCAATTTATTTTTTAAATCTTCTGGCTTTATTACATTTGTCCAATATCTTGTTATTATTAAAATAATTTATTTCTTATAATATACATTTTATACCGTGTGGTACATCAAAAGTGAAGTTTATTAAAATTAAACTACAAAATTGTCAATTTAAGCTGATTGTAATTAATTAAAGTTAATTTATGAAAAGCATACATTAAAATAGAAAAAAATCGAAAATTTTTCCAGAGTTTAATAAACTAACATTACTTACGCAAAATACCATATTTAATATAAAAAATAATTTATCAAAAGAAGCAGATATTTTAAAGGTCCAACTCCTTTGAATATAGAATCTTTTGATTATATAAAATTTAATGCTTTGAATTCTTTATCAAAAGGATGAATAGTGTCGAAAGTATATACAAAAAGTATAAACTGACTTCATAAAGTTGAGTGCCAGTAACTTTAAATTAGCATCTAAATGTAGTACCTATACAAGAAGTGTTTCTTTTTAAAGAAATTATTTTATTTATTTTTAAATTTCTAAAAATAATTTTATAAAAGAATAAATAAAAAAACTGTAGAGCTGACTATTTCATATATTCGGGAAGTATATAAAATTTGAAATACACATAAATTTAAATATATAACCGTTTTGAAATATACAGCAGATTTTGTAATTTAAAGTGGACATCGCCATACTTCATATTATTTGGAAATATTTGCTGTGCAAACGTTATTTTAAAATTTCGTATCGAGTTATTGCTGACTGGAGATTACATTAAAGTTTAGTTCGTAGTAATGTTGACTTTAGTGCTGGGTTAATATTTATTAGAAACTATTATCAGATTAAAACTATAATACAAAGAAATTGTAAAATAAACTGAACTATAGATATTAAGAAAAAGTTTGAAAAGTTTTATGAAACTATAGACTTTTTCCTTATTTTGAAGAATTCAAATTAATTTTTGTAAAAATCTATCTTTTTGTAAAACATTTTTTTTTGATATACTATTCTTTTAGACCCCATAGATAAAAATAACAAGTAAAGATAAACAAATCCTTGCTTAAATTAGCAATCTTAGCTTCATTCAGAACCTCGCAATTAGTGGAATAAATTAGTGGTTTCAACTACACCTTATACTTTTTAGTTTATGATCTAACACACAATATTCACAAAAAAACACAATTAAAATTAATAGAATATCCTAGCAACGACTTGCGTTAGTCAGTTGTATCCATAAAGAAAGCCTAATATTTAGCTTATAAAACAATCAACTTTTGATTTCTAACCACGATTTTTCTTGAGATGATAATCAAATGGAAAAATGACATTACCGGCAAATTCTGAAGTATAATTAGTAGAAAAAGTTAAAAGTTCGTTAAAGCTTCATTCAGCGAACCTCGCAATTAGTGGTTTCAATTACACTTTATACTTTTTAGTTTACGATCATTCACAAGGTTTAAAAAACACAATTAAAATTAATAGAATATCCTAGCAACAGCTTGCGTTAAGGCCGGAACACACCTATTATGCACTTTCCGATCCGGCTCCGATCCTACAGTCGGACGACTGTATGAGAGGGAAATCGTATGTTATTTAAATATAAATAAATAAATAAATATAAATAAATGCCTTTATTGCCAAAAAAGTTTTCAATTTGTAGACAAAGGTAAACTAACAAACAAAGTAAAAAAACAAGGTACACAAACAAACAAAAGATAATACAAAACATTATACAAATAATATTGTCAGTCTTATTGTTCAAAATAAACATTTATAAATGTTTACAATGTCAAAGAACAAAAAAATTAAAATAATATTCAAAAATATTTAGTTAGTTTATAGTAAAATATCAATGACCTCTAGATAACTTTATTTCGATGTCATTAATAAATATAGCAATAGCAAACATTAGACCAGTGTTTACAAGATCAAATTCGAGTTTCAAAATATAATTCATTTCCGGCGTAGAAAGCCTTGTCTAGTAAATAAGGGTTCAATGCTTTGCGAAATGAAAAAAATGATGTTATGCATTTGATTTCAAATGGCAGGTGATTGTGCATTTT